CAACGACCTCGACGGTCTGCTTGGTGTCTTCTTCGACTCGGACGCGCTGCCCAAGCCGTTTGACGAGCCGAACGGCACCAAGATGTTCGTGCTCATGAAGGGCACGTACGCCGAGGAGGACGCGAAGGCCAAGGTGCGCGAGATCCTCCATGATCACCTCGGCATCGACCCGGATGAGCGGTGCATCATGCTCGCGCGCACCAACAAGGACTGCATCCCGCAGCACCACGTCGGGCACCGCGAGCTCATGGCGCGCGCCGACGGCGAGCTGTCGGCTGCGTTCAACGGCCAGCTTGCCGTGGCTGGGCCTTCGTACTCGGCAGTCGGCGTCGTGGGGTCGATGCGCTCGGGGTACGACATGGCCACGCAGGTGACGGACCCTGGGAAAGGCCGCGGTCGGCGACACGGGTCTCGCTCGCTTCCGAGGAGACGAGAAGCTGCAAGCCGTCGACCGGCACGGGCTGCAGGGGGTCGGCAGGCTGATCCCTGATCGGGTGTCGAAGATTGTGCAGTGGCTTCGCTAGAGCGGGCCCAGCAATGCTTCATGGTGTTATAATAGATTGCCTGACTGGGCAACAAGGGTGTATAACAAGTGTATAATCCTTCTGCTATGGAAGAGACGACAATCGAGCGTTGATTTTATTCCCTACACAAATGATACCTCGGCGACTGTTTGAATCCCAATGCTTTTGCGAAGTACCGAGACGATCACACCTTGGATTAAGTTCGTGCCACTCTGCATGGCGACTCATCCACTCGAACCCCGCACTGTGGTCACCCCATCACCCCGCCACCACGTAGTTCTTGCGCTGAAAGGCCACCACGGCAAATATTCCCAACACGCGATGCCCAACCCACTTCATGAAAGCAAAAGTCAAACGCGAGGGACGTAGGCAAAAGAGTGGGCGCATCCGGGGATTGAACCCGGGACCTCTCGCAAGCTGTGCTTCAGGGTGTGACCCTAAGCGAGAATCATACCACTAGACCAACGGCGCCGTGTATTTCGCACTGTGCATCGTGAGCTCGGAGCAGTCGATAGTCGACAGTCGAGCAAGAGAGTAAGGCGATGAGCCTCGCCAGACGCGAACAGCCGCTCCCCATCTCACAGCCTGGTGAAGATCATGCGACGACAGAGGACTGCGGCTCAGCGTCGTCATCGCAGCTCAGCCAGGCCTTCCATAGGGCGGCGGGTGTCCTCGGCAGCGGATGTAACCCACCACGACCATGTTGCCATGGGCGAGAGGCCTGACAACCGTCAGGTGAGGGAGACATTCCGGACGTAGAGCATTGGGAGAGGCCCCCTCCTGTGCGTGAAACGAATAGCAGATACACATGCCGATCGGACTTCGCAACTGACTATCTGTGGGGGGGGCATGAGCACTTCCTGCGAAGGCCATTCGTTTGTTGCTCCAGTGCGAGAGCATGCGCCCCTCCTAAGGAAAAAGTAAAAAATAAAATAAAAAAAATATCACCAGATGCCACACGCACGCAGGACAGGCGTTGCCCTGCGGCTTGGTTGGCATACGGGGCTTGGTTCGAGATGTTGAGGCCGGCAACCCGAGTCTTTGCTGGCCGCCTGCATGACCGCCCGGATGCCCTCTGCCATGCAACCCAGTCAGCCAGCTCGCCAGCCGACCAAACGACGGGACATTGTGTAGGGAGCTGGCAAGCGGTGTAACCTCACCTCACAAACCGTCTTCTCTCCCCTCAGGTCTCATCCACAGACCGATCACCTGCCATCCCCCGTCTCAGCATCGACCAGTGCCACCTCCACCAACGGTCAGCGACCTTCCTAATAGCGTAGCGAGAAGCCAACCTCAAGCCTCTTTTTTTTGGCTCTCCTCCTGTTCATCGTCCTGCCCAGTGCACCCTCTTTCCGCTCAAGCAACGAAACACCGCATGATTTCTCGCAATCGCTCAACAGCACTTTCAACCTTGCTCTCAGCCCCGCCTCCCGAGCGAAGACAAGAAGTAACGTTGCCGCTACCCGCCTCGGAGCCTCCCCGCCCCCTCGTCTTCTCCCCTTCCCGCCGCCCTGCCGTGCCCGCGCCCTCTCCTCCATCCACTCTACCAACAGCCCAATCAGCCATATCCCTGGCAAAAGCGAAGGAAAAGGCCGAAAAAAAAAGGAGATGACGATGCGGCTGTAGATCAGAGACCAAGAAAGAAACATACCCACCCAGAGAACCACCCTAGAACCCCAGGCAAAGACACCCCCCCCCTCCCCTAGTGGCTGGCCGAACAACCAATCCCCCCCGCCACATTCCACCGGCGCCCCGTCAACTGCCGGCGCGCGACCACCTCAACCTCGTCCCGCTGGTTGGCTTGCCATTCGTGCCCCATCTTCCTATCAGACGCAGAAACGACGCTGGCAGAGGAAACCTTACCATCCATCGCAAGGCAACCCGTTTGGTCCGTCATCGTCCTCGTCGTCGCCGACCGCCCGCCCAGAAAAGGTGCCCGAGAAGACTGCGTGCCCATACCTACCATACCATACGTTGTACAAGCCTCTCCCTAGACGTGCCCTCCCCCCTCGCGTCAAGGCTCCCCGAATTAGAAAGTGTTACACGCGACTCGATAATCCACGGGACGCCTCGGCGGCCGTTGGCTGGCCGCGACATTGTCTTTCTAGCTCCTCGTGCACAACACGTTTTCCTCTTGCGTTCCTTTACGTTTGACAGCATATATATGGACTCGTCCCCTTCCTTCCCCTTCCTTCGTCCGACCTCTGTCTCCCATGCACTAGGCGTGTGATACTCTTTGCATTTTCGCATCACCACACACAGACCTACGTACGATTCATACATTTCGCGGGACCAGCAGCACGAGCCGCTGGATTGCCCATCATGCACCTCTCATCCATCCTCCTCACCTCCCTCACCCTGGCCCTTACCCAAGCCAGCATCTGGCCCGCCCCCAAGAAGCTCACGACGGGCAACACAACACTCTTCATAGACGAGTCCTTGAAGATAACCTACAATGGTGACCCTGTACGCTGGAACTCCCCCTCCCTCCATGACACCGGCGGCGCCTTTGCGCAGGATGCTGAGACCCTTTTGAACATGCAGCTCCCCTACACGTACAGCTACAAGCCGGACACCAGCTGCGCCTGGAGCAGCAAGGCTGTCATCCAGGGCGCCGTGTCGCGCTCCCTGAACTCCATCTTCCACCAAAACTTTGTGCCCTGGATGCTCCACGAGAAGAACAGCCAGTTCGAGCCTGATGTCCACGGTAGTGGCCAGGGCCGCGTCAAGTCGTTGAGCATCACACAGAACAGCAAGAACGACAGCGAGAGCCCCTACACATCCTTGGCCGAGGATATTGATGAGTCGTACACCTTGAGCCTCTCTGAGGAAGGCGTCGCCGAGATCAAGGCACCAACCGCCATTGGCGTCCTGCGCGCGCTCGAGTCCTTCTCCCAGCTCTTCTACTCGCACACAACCGGCAAGATTGTAACACACGCATGCACCCCGTT